CCACCCCCAGACCTCCCCCCGCTCCCTGGGTTAAATCCCCGCGCAGGCCCCGAGCAGATGGTGTGAGATCCCGGCGGCAGCGCCCTGCCCCGGAGGACACGGTGCCCTCGAGCCGGGAGCCGCGGGCAGAGGGGGACGGGCGCTGCAGCCCCACGCCGGGGGGGCTCCCACAGGGCCCCCTTTGCAGCACAGAGCCCAGCCGCAGCGAAGCACCCCATGGTGAGGGGCTGTCACCTTCTCGTTGGCCACCGCACGTGGCACCCCAGTGCCCAGCAGCCCCCAGAGGGGCGCAGGGGCCGGGCACCACCCCAAATCGATGCTCGCCACAACCAGGAGGGCGCAGGGTTTGGCCGGGACCAGCAACAGCCTCAGACAAACCCCGCGCAGGCCCCGAGCAGATGGTGTGAGATCCCGGCGGCAGCGCCCTGCCCCGGAGGACACGGTGCCCTCGAGCCGGGAGCCGCGGGCAGAGGGGGACGGGCGCTGCAGCCCCACGCCGGGGGGGCTCCCACAGGGCCCCCTTTGCGGCACAGAGCCCAGCCGCAGCGAAGCACCCCATGGTGAGGGGCTGTCACCTTCTCATCGGCCACCGCACGTGACACCCCAGTGTCCAGCAGCCCCCAGAGGGGCGCAGGGGCCGGGCACCACCCCAAATCGATGCTCGCCACAACCAGGAGGGCGCAGGGTTTGGCCGGGACCAGCAACAGCCTCAGACAAAAAAAAACTCCAAACCCTTCCCGTGGGGGGTTGGCCAGGGAGGGGTGATGGTGCCCGTGGGGTTTCACTGAATTTCACTGAATTTTTAGAGTTGGAGGGGACCATAGAGATCATCTAGTCCAACTCCCCTGCTGAAGCAGGACCACCCAGAGCTTGTCAGAGCATGTTACTCAGGAGCATCCAGGCGGGTCTTGAAAATCTCCAAAGAAGGGGACTCCACACCCTCCCTGGGCAGCCTGTATCGGCCACCGCACGTGACACCCCAGTGTCCAGCAGCCCCCAGAGGGGCGCAGGGGCCGGGCACCACCCCAAATCGATGCTCGCCACAACCAGGAGGGCGCAGGGTTTGGCCGGGACCAGCAACAGCCTCAGACAAAAAAAAACTCCAAACCCTTCCCGTGGGGGGTTGGCCAGGGAGGGGTGATGGTGCCCGTGGGGTTTCACTGAATTTCACTGAAGAGCTTGTCAGAGCATGTTACTCAGGAGCATCCAGGCGGGGCTTGAAAATCTCCAAAGAAGGGGACTCCACACCCTCCCTGGGCAGCCTGTTCCAGGGCTCTGTCACCCTCACCGTGAAGAAGTTCTTCCTCATATTCAAGTGGGACCCTTTATGTTCCAACTTGTGCCCGTTGCCCCTCGTCCTCTCACTGGCAACTACTGAAAAGAGTCTGGCTCCCTCCTCCCTCAGCCCGCCCTTGAGATACTTGTCAGCATTAATAAGGTCTCCCCTCAGCCTTCTCTTCTCCAGACTAAAGAGTCCCAGCTCTCTCAGTCTCTCCTCATCAGGGAGATGCTCCAATCCTTGAATCATCTTTGTAGCCCTTCGCTGGACTCTTTCCAGCAGTTCCCTGTCCCTCTTGAACTGGGGAGCCCAGAACTGGACGCAGGATTCCAGTTGTGGCCTCCCCAGTGCCAAGTCAGGGCTGAGCGCCCAGGTCCTCCTCCACCCCGGCACACGGCCCAGCTCTGCTGCACCCAGGTCATCCCTGGCCAGATCCTGGCCACAAAAAATGCCAGTTTCATTCCAGTTTGGGCTTAAAAGGCATTTGGGAGAGCAGAGGCAAAGGCTGGCGCAGAGACATTTGGAAACAACCCCGCGTGGTCCGAGTGAGTCACCTGCGGAAACGCCGGAGAAGAGCAGGGAGGGTTGGAGCCAGGGGGATAAATGGGGGGAGACACCAGCAGCACCCGAGGCCCCCACACCCATCGGGTCCCCGCGTGGGGCTGGCAGCTGCACCAAGGAGGTGGGAAGGGGGAAATGGCACATCTCCCTGCCCTCCCCCACCGTCTGTGGGGCACAGAGAGGGGCACCAACACCCCAGAGCTCGGTGGCGGCGGCTGGGTCCTGCCCATCACCCGGGGGCTATGGGGGGTGAGGGAAGGGGGGCAGGAAGCCCCATAACGCTGCTGAGTCCAAACCAGCGTGAAAACATCGGGTCTTTGTCTCCCCCGGTGCCGAGGTGGAGGTTCGGTGCCCCTCATCCTCCGTGTCGCACACAAACAACCTGAGAACGTCCAACTTTCAGTAAGAACGTACAGGCGACCAGGACTGGTCACACCTCCAGTAAAAAATGCTTCCACGGGGTCCTGAACTGGGCCAGGTTGGGGTCCCCCCCAATAGCCGTGTCCCCGGGCACCAGAGCCCCTGGGACCCACAGCAGCGGCTTTAGGGACTAAGAGGATTGAGCCCGGGAGTGACTCCCAGGGAAACTCTGGTCCAGGGGAAGAGCCCCGTCAGCAGGACACCAGTCCCTCCCCGAGCTGGGGTGTCCCCCCCCCCAGTAGCCATGTCCCCGGCACCAGAGCCCCTGGGACCCACAGCAGCGGCTTTAGGGACTAAGAGGATTGAGCCCGGGAGTGACTCCCAGGGAAACTCTGGTCCAGGGGAAGAGCCCCGTCAGCAGGACACCAGTCCTTCCCCAAGGACACTGTGGGGGCTCCTGGGGTACCCCCTGGGCAATGTCTGCCCACCTCCCCAGGCCTGCCAGGGCTGTGGGGAGGGGGTTTCACCCCATTGCCATCAGGGACCCCACCCCATGCTCTCTCTCCCCCCCACCCCAATCACAATTGGACTTGATGATTTTAAAAGTCTTTTCCAACCTAACTCATTCTGTGCCACGGTTGATATGGCGGCCCCAGGGCCCCCCACCAAGGCCCCCCACCAGGGCCCAACTCCGTGGCACTGGGTGCACCCCCCAGCCAGGCAAGGGCTAAGTAACAGCGTGACTCGCACAGGAGCTCTCCCCAGCAACACTTTATTCCCTGCCAGACCCCCCCCCAACCCCGACCCCAGTGTCCACTGCCCAGGGGGGAGTTTGGGTGCCGGGGGCAGACACCAGCCTCAGCCCTCCCAGTCTGGTTAAATGTGGGGGAAGGTCTGGGCAGGCTCTGCCTCACCCCGTGAGCCCTAATGGCAGCGCCGCTCCCCGCAGAAAGAAAAAGCGCAGCCAAATCTTCCCAAAACTTTGCCATGAAACAACCCCCATCCCAGGGCAAAGGCAAAAAGCAGAGCCCTGGCCTGTCCCGACAGGAGAGGCCAAACCCACAGCAGCGTCTCCACCGCAGAGGTGAGGAGGGACCCGGCTCAGCACCAGCACCAAGGGCTATTTTTGAGGCATCGCGCCACTCCAGCCTCTGAGAGCCGGTGCCCAAAGCCAGCCCTGGCCCCCCCCAGCAAAGCTCGGGTGGGGAAATTGGAGTGTTTCACACCGAGCCGCCACGGCAGCACAAGCCCAAGGGCAGCCCCGGGCCCTGCGCGGCTGCGACAGGCTCCGACGTGCAGAGCGGAGCCCACCTGGTCCAAGCCCCGAGCCAGGCTGCAGGCACAGGGTGCTGGTCCTGGCAGGGAAAAAAGGGGCAGAACCAGGAAAAAGGGGGGGCATGTAACAGTTCAGCCTGGATTTGGAGGGAGAAGGCGGCTGTAATTGTGCCAGAGAGCAAATCCAGTTCCTCCTCCACCTCCACCACAGCGAGGCACGGCTCCACGGCGATGGAGGCGGCCATGAAAGCGCAGACAGAGGGGGTGGGAGGCAGCGCACCCTGTCCCCTCCCTTGCCCCCCACCCCCCACCATCTCATCCAGGGCTCAGGAGGAGGCCTGCAGCTTGCAGAGCCCGTCGGCGTACTGGAACTGGGTGCTGTTCTCATACTGGTACATGTCCAGGGCCACCTCGCAGCTCTCCCGCACCACCCGCTCCTCGTCACGGGCGAAGGCTCGCAGGGTCTCCAGGCAGGAGGGGCGGGCAATGGAGCCCAGGGCCTCGGCGCACTCGTGGCGCACCATGGGGCTCTGGCTGCGGTCCCGCAGGGCGGCCGTCAGCTGTGGGACACAGGCCTCATCCTGCAGCTGGCCCAGCACGTACCCGATCTCGTGGCGGAAGAGGGCGCTGCCGGAGCGCAGGCCTGCGGGGAGGAGGGGAGAGTCAGACACCGCGGCCCCCAGAGCGACACCACAAACCTAGGGGGGGAGGCTGGTGAGGGGTTACAGCTGGTGGTCGTCACCCCAGACCCACGGGGGCTTTTCACTGAATTTTTAGAGTTGGAAGGGACCATAGAGATCATCTAGTCCAACTCCCCTGCTGAAGCAGGATTGCCTACAGCTTGTCAGAGCATGTTACTCAGGAGCATCCAGGTGGGTCTTGAAGGTCTCCAAAGAAGGGGACTCCACACCCTCCCTGGGCACCCTTCCAGGGCTCTGTCACCCTCACTGTGAGGAAGTTCTTTCTCCTATTTGAGAGATGTCCTCCTCTTATGTTCCAACTTGTGCCCGTTGCCCCTCGTCCTCTCACTGGGAACCACTGAAGAGTCTGGCTCCCTCCTCCCTCAGCCCGCCCTTGAGATACTTGTCAGCATTAATAAGGTCTCCCCTCAGCCTTCTCTTCTCCAGACTAAAGAGTCCCAGCTCCCACAGTCTTTCTTCATAAGGGAGATGCTCCAATCCTTGAATCATCTTTGTTGCCCTACGCTGGACTCTCTCCAGCAGTTCCCTGTCCCTCTTGAACTGGGGAGCCCAGAACTGGACGCAGGATTCCAGTTGTGGCCTCACCAGTGCAGAGCAGAGGGGGAGAATGACCTCCCTTGACCTGCTGGCCACACTCTTCCCTACGCAGCCCAGGATTCCGTTGGCCTTCCTGGCCACAAGAGCACACTGCTTGCTCCTTGTCATTTTGCTGCCCACTAGGACCCCCAGATCTTTCCCTTCAGAAGTTGTCTCCAGCAGGTCCACCCCTAACCTAACCTTTTGGGGAAGGGGACAAAACCCCTATCCCGCCCCGCTCCCTGACCCCAGCGGTGTAGGGACGCCCCCTCGTGACAGCAGCACCCACCCTGCCCACAGAGAGACCCACTGGCACCCCCCCTGCCCCGGGGAGCCTGCCCTGCCCCACCGGTGTGATGTGCCTGGGGCAGGCTGGCAGCACAGCCACAGCCTCCAGCTCTCCCGTGCTGTGGGAGGCTTCAAACGGGCCGGAGTGAGGGCTCACAGACCCCCACATGCCCCAGCTCGTCCCAGATGGCTGGAGAGCCTTGTCCATGTCCCTTGGGCTGGCTCCAAGCGGTTCCTGGGCTGTGATCTACCCCTGCCCCACTCAGGAGACATTCCCTCCCCTCCCCAGAGCCATTCCCAAACCCCAGGATGAGGTTGGCAGCCCCAGACTTTCCAGGACGAGAGCAGGACCCCGAGACCTCAGGGCCAGGTCCCACCAGGTCAGACCGGTTGGGCCCAAGGCAACGTTACAGCTGTGCCCTCTCCTACCCGGACCCACGGAGAAAGGGGGCCTGGAGGATGGCAAAGGGGCTGCGAAACACCAAAGAGCACCGAGCGCTCTGCGATGTGGCTTTTGCAAGCAAGCAGGGGGGAGAGCAGCTCTGGAAACAAAGGCACAAAGAGCCCAAGAGGAGCCCTGCAGCTCTGTAAACCCTGGATTTGGGAAGGGCTAATCCCAGATTAACCTGCAGAGCCTGCAGGCAGCCTCAGGCAGGCCCTTACCGTCCGCCAGCGCCAGCACAGCAGCCTGGCCCCCCAGGTTTCGCAGGGCAAACATGGCGCGGTAGCGGTCGAACAGCGAGCGCGACTCATCCAGGAGGGTTTCGCGGAGTTTGGCGACGTCCGTCTCCTCGGCAGGGGGAGCGGGATCCACGGAGAGGTAGGGGCTGCCACCTGGCTCCTGCTTGTTCTCCTGCAGCCACTCCAGCCTCCTCACTGCCAGCTGACACGTCTCCGCCACCTGCGGGGACGGGGACACGGCCCTGGGTGTGGGACGGCACCGTACCGCGCCAGGAGGGCACCCAGGGATCCTGACAGGGGCTGGGCACCAGCACGCAGCAGGATGCCACTCGTGGTGGCCCTGTCCACAGCCAGGGCTGCCCAGGAGAGACCTGCCACCCACTCCCGGACCAACAGCACTAAACCCCAGAGGAAATGACCCCCTCAAGAGCCTCACCTCAACCACGGGATCCTCCGAATAGCGTCTCAGGATACCCAGCACACTTGGATTCCCAATGGCACCCAGGGCTTCACCTGAAAGAAGGAAGGACGTGTCAGGACGTCACCAAAGTGTCTACATGAGGAGGTCCTCCAGCAAAACCTCACCCCGCTCTGAAGTGGGGACGCAGGCTGCCTCTGACCAACCCTAAATGACACAGACAGATAATTAGACACGGCAGGAACCAGCCTGGCCAGCACGATGGGAACACTCGGCCGACCCGTCCAGCCAGGGGATGTGGTGAGGCGGTTACACGGCTCAGGTTTTTCCAACCCCCGACACCCGGGCTAGATCAGACCCACCATGAGCCGTTCGGTACAGGGGGGAAGCACACACAAGTCCCACTCGTAGGCCCAACCCTTCCCCTACAGGAGCCGCCATCGTACCTGCCTCGTGCCTGACCATGGGCTCCTGGCTGGTGTCCTCCAGCACCCGGACGAGCACAGGGATGGCCGCCTCGTCCTGCATCTGCCCCAGGCAGTAGGCCAGCTCATGCTTCAGCAGGGCAGAGCCGTCCCCGAAGGCCCGGCCGATCCATTCCACGGCCTCCTGCCCGCCCAGGTTGCGCAGGGTGAAGAGTGCCCGGAACCGGGCGGGCAGGGGCTGCGCCGCGTCCACCAGCGTCCGGCCGATGGCCGCCACCTCCTCCGCTGTCACCATGGCGCCGGGGCAGACGGAGCCCTGGTCGCACGCAGGCCTTTGTCGGGGCTCTCTCCGGTCACACTCCTGCGGAGGGGGAAGGGGTCAGGGGGGCCCCGGGGGCAGCCTCGGCCGCCAGCGGGTCCCTCACCCCGGGGCAGGGCAGGCGGAGAGGGCCGCGGCCCGGCCCGGAGCTACCGTAGGGGGGAAGGGGGTGCCCTGGCCGAGCAGAACAGGCCCGCAGGAACCGCCCGGCCCCGACTCGACCCGCTCCTCAGACCGACACCGACAAGGCCGCGCCCGCCCGGCCCCGTTGGGCCGGAGCCACCAGGCCGGGCCCGCACTCACCGCACGCCGCCATGCTGCTGCTCACGTGACCGTGCCGGCGGCTCCTACCACTGCACTTCCGGGGAGGGGAGGGCGGAGCCGCCCTGAGCCCGCCCATGTTGTGTGCGGAGGGGTGGGTGGGTGCTCCCCCCTCCCCGCTACCCCGAATGGTAGCGGCCGAGGG